AATCATACGAGCAGCTTTTGGCCCTATGATGTCAGACATTGATTAATCAATCAGCGTTGACTTTTTTAGTAGTTTACCCACAATTCCGTGCAGGGTATGCCAAGAACTCGCCGTAACAGACCGTTTCATTGGCTAATTCCTCACATCATCCAGAACGCGGGTTATATAACAACTTTTCCAGATTCTAGTGTTGTGAAGACAAGTAAAACGAAATTTTGAACTATAGCAAACGAAACGAAATAGGATCTGTGTTTTAATCAGATTGACCACCGAGCTCTATTCGACGGATCGCTACATCATTTCTCTTTTAACATAATATTAGTGGAAGCTGCTGGGAATTCGTATAAGGGCGTGCTTAGCCATTTATGAAGACATGGAGAGATTGATAATGGGGGGCGGGGAGGGGGGCTAAGATTGAAAATAAAATGAAATAAAGATACTGCATCTAGAGCGAGACGCGAAACTTTTCGGAATATTTTCATCCGGACCTTTAATGTTGCAGGATGATACAGCGATGTTATATAGGAAGACACTTATCAGTAAGGGAACGGAGATGATTTTTGTGTGTACACCGTGTAATACTTTTATAGATTATATTTAGAGAGGCAAACAACTTTTTTATAGCACTCTAATAGAGAGGCACACAATTTTTTTATAGCACTATATATAGAGAGGCACACAACTTTTTTTATAGCACTCTAATAGAGTGGCACACAAATTTTTTATAGCACTATATTTAGAGAGGCACACAACTTTTTGGCGGCATTTCCAATAGTGAATTCCTTTATAATTCTTATAACGATACAATCAATCGATCCAATTTTTATTGGTACACGTGAACTCGATTGCTTTATCTGTTTTTGTTCCTTCTGTAATCAAAGATATCACCTTATATGTACAACCATCCTTTAGCCCGGCAGAATTACTTCCCCTTTTGTCGGGAATTTTCTGTTCAAATTTCTTTCTTGCGAATATGGTGGATACGTATGGGTTAACAATGTTTTGAAAATTTAAATGTGTTTTTTCTTGACAATAGTCGGTCTTGGGGGGAATATAGGGAGTGTATAAACCACCTAATAATGTAGATTTTCGTTGTGACGTTCCGTTAATTTAGAATATGGAACATTTAGTAAAGGTTTAGTTAGAAGCGCTTTATTTTTTGTTCTTAGAAAACGAGCCATTAGGCCCACTACATATTTTCCAGAGAATAACGGGAGCACCGTCTTGTGTTGAGGGGAGAGAGAGAGGGAGAGAAATGGGGTGTAACGTCCACTCGACACAAACTAGGTCATTTCGGGACTAACAAATGGTTTAATTTTATTTCAATAATTCGCTTGCGCGTAGGGGTCTTTAGCAGTGGGAAGAAACCGGACGAACCGGAAACAACCCACGAGGATGGACAGGCGACCCTACTCCTTGTCACTACAACCGGGGGATCGAAACCACGCGAGTTGACTCAATGAAATCGTGTTGAGAGGCCGAACGTATTAACATAGGCGCATAACAAGAATTGTAATTTACTTACCTTTTAAATTTAACAAAAATAACGGCAATAAGTATTAATGATCCAATTAAAACAATAACAGCTACACAGATTAAGGCAATAGCTTCATCACTTATTTTATTAGAGGGCTCGGGTCCCGTGACTTTACTATAAAATAAATCTTGGATAGCAGCCATGTTCTCATCAACTAGTCTGAAATTATATAATAGTTTAGGTTATATATAATATAATAATAATTTAAGTTAGGTTTATAGTATTCAGTAAAATATTAAAGATATTTTCCCTATGATATCCTTGAATGACATTTAGAAGTAGAGGTGAGGTATACTATTCATAACAACACAAATTTATGGATTTACTACTTCTTGGTTTATTATATACAACGTTTCAATACTCTTACAGGTATCTTTATCAAGCAATGATCAATAATGAATAACAAACACATGTTAAAGTTAACGGGCCTTCCAGCAACAGACCAATCTGATTACAACACAGATCCAATTTCGTTTCGTTTTTTATAGTTCAAAATTTCGTTTTTACTTGTCTTTACTACACTTGGATCTGGAAGACTTGTTATTTAACTCGTGTTCTGCTTGAAATGAGGGGTCAGCCGATCAAACGGTCTGTCGAATCGAGCGTTTGACCTTTTTTGCGCGGAACTGTGGGAAGACACTACCAGCGATAGAAATCAAAACAAAGCAAAAGTAGATTTAAAAAAGCATGGCGGTCGCTAATTGGTTAATCGAATGTCGCTTGATTGGTACCTGACGTCATAGAACGTGAACTCCCACTATAAATTGTTAGATCTACATGTACATGTAGTGTAGGCCATCGAAAGTATAAAAAACGAAACGAAATATAGATCTATATTTTAATTAGATTGGCAACAGACTTTCTCTCCGTTAAAGATAACGATCCATTAACTCCATGTTAACGAGTCGTTAAAAGTTAACGGAGCCTTGAACAACCGGCCCCTGGACAATATATTTAAATCTGTGCCCCCCCCCCACCCCCCACCCCCACACACACACACACACACACGTATGGGTATGTACTTTAGAACAGACAACAATAATATTATCATAGAATTGAAGCGGCACTAGGTAAGATTAGATAAAGAGTTGACATTTCTCGCTATAATAATAGTTAAAAATATAGATAATGAAAAGAGATTATTTTGATAATTTAGGTCAAATGAAATAATTATATGCTAGCCTCGATTATCATTTATACCGTTGTTATAATAATAAACAAAGTCTCGATTATCCATTTTTACGTTTAATTATCCTTCACAAAATGTATTCCAATCCACTAAATATCACAGACTAACGATGGCATCGAGAGTTGATTATGGTCTGGATAAGTTAATTAATGTTTAATTAATAAATTAGATAACATTTCGGGCCTAAAGAAAGACTAACAATTGGCAAATTTAGGTCTTGGATAATGAATATATAAATCTCTATATGAATATATACCTGCTGAGAACATCAATAGGTATCATCGCACCATTTGTTTTATTTTTACCAGTTATGTAGATAATGGACCTGTAAAAGAATATTTTCTAATATTATCAAACATGAGTTTCGTATCATTTGTATTTACAAAATCCCGAGGCACCATTTGCATTTTTCACTAAAATATCAAACTTCCGCGCTAATATGTACACAAGATTGACTATTTAACATTTAATTAAGAAAACAAAATCAAAATACCAATCCCGGCCTTTTGTTTTATAAAAAACGAAACGAAATGGATCAGTGTTTTAATCAGATTGATAGAGAGGGAGAGAAATGGGGTTTAACGTCCACTCGACAAAAAAAACGTCATTTCGGAACAAACATTTGGTTGAATTTTATTTCAATAATTCGCTTACGCGCAGGGATCTTTCGCAGTGGGAGGAAACAGAAGGACCCGAGAAAACCCACAAGGTTGGACAGGTGACCCTGTTCCTTGACACCTACAACCGGGGAATCGAAACCACGCCAGTTTATTTAATGACAGGCCTTATGATGCGGCACGCACGCGCTAAACATTCTGCCCCCCCCCCTATTCATATTGATACTTTAATAAACTTACCCTGTCCCATAGCTAGATATATTCGTCATTTCAACATTAACACCCAATATATCTGACATACCTCTGAAAAAACAAATGTTAAATGGTCGATATTATATTAAGATGAGCGTAAAGTGAACTAAATAAAAAGGTGGCTGAAGATCATTAGAGATTCTATGAAGACACAGGTAAAGATATTGCCATGCAGGTAGTATTAAGGAAGTGGAGAATCTAGTAACACGTGCAGATATATGAAGGTGTCGGGTTAAATCTATTTGACAAGCCAAATGCCGAGAGCCTAAAATTTTTTCTTTTTTCTTCAGAAACGAAAATACCAGAATACGACAAGCACCACCTAAGGAAGACCATCACCGCCACCAACACCTTATAAAAATAGAAAATATCACGAACTAAATTTTCATCATCCTAGGTCAGTGCTTTTTTGTGGAGACTTAACCTCTCCCCCAAATTCTTAAACCTAACCCAAGACCTAGCCCTAAGCCTTACCCTAACCCATAATCTACACCCGGTGCGAGAAGACTGATTATGACTGATCAGGCTGATGGGCATGACAAAGGCTACACAATGTAGGTAACCAATTATATAGAATAAAACTTACTTTTGTAAAGATGTTTTATCTCTATATATTATATCTTTATCTGAACCAACTGGTATCCTTAAACTAGCGTTATTACCACCAACATGTACCTACAAAATAAAATATATCAAATATTGTATGGCTCTGTCAACCCTCCGGAGTCTTTCGTGTGATAAGTGTTGTCCCGCTCGTGTACTTCCTGGCGTGCACGTAGGAGAAAAACCCTTAGTAAGAGGGATTTGATGAAGGAGGCGGAAACGCCGCTGTCCAGACAAAATGTCCCCCATTGATGGGATGATGTTATCTATATATCCACCATGAAATGAAATGAAATGGGGTTTAACGTCCTACTGTTCTGCTCCGAACTGGCGGGCATACGCCATACAGTGTGCTATGAGGGAAATTTTGCCCGGACAGCGGCACTACAACCTACTCTTATATCGAATTCCAACTGTCAAGGGATTTTTTAAGTGCATTTCTAATATATACACGGGACCTCGGTTTTTCGTCCCATCCGAACGATTAGACAGCTGTCTTTGTCAGGTCCTCCGTCCTGCATCACTGACAAGGGGGGAACCACGCCGGAAAATCTGGATGAACTTTCTCGGCCAATGCAGGGATCGAACACCCGACCCCCAGGCTAGCGAGCCAGCGTCTTACCCACTTAGCCATTGTGACCCCCCCCCCCCCAGGACAAGCAGTATGTGTCATAATGTGTCATACAGAAACATGATATTGGCTTGAAAAACAGGCAAGTTGTCGTACCTTAACCTCTGTTGTTGTCTGTAGACTCGGACTACCACTATCAGCGGCTCGTACAGTGAAGTAGATAAATTGTTGAGTCGGTTCTATATCAGGTAGTTTAAGCAAGCTCACGTCACCAGTTGATGCACCAATACCAAACTCATTCGATCTATATAGAAACAATTAGATATTTAACTTTAATTTCCACAGAGAGAGAGAAAGAGAGAGAGAGAGAGAGAGAGAGAGAGAGAGAGAGAGAGAGGGGGTTTAACGTCCACTCGACACAAACTTGGTCATTTCGGGACTAACACATGGTTCAATTTTATTTCAATAATTCGCTTGCGCGTAGGGGTCTTTAGCAGTGGGAGGAAACGGAGGACCCGGAGAAAACCCACGAGGTTGGACAGGCACAACCGGGGAATCGAAACCACGCCAGTTGACTCAATGACATGCCGTATGATGCAGCGCGCACGTGCTAACCATTCGGCCATCCACCAACCCCCTTCCCCCCACTCCCCACAAAGAGAAAGAGAACAAATTGTCATCACTGTTTTTCTATTAACAAAGTTAAATATAAAAAAAATGCTGAAGATAATTAAAGGAAATTGTTGCAATAAAATGGGCTTCTTCGTCTCAACAATATAATCAACATATATCAATTTAAAAACGATCGAATGATAAATATTGTCTGTAGAGTGTTCGCAAGAAATTGTGGAGGAAGGGCGGAAGTACAACAAAGGCGTCGACATATATATCACCATATTTCTACGTGAGCGTATAAAAAGATAGTGGGAGGTCCATTTCATGTGTGTGAAATAGCTCTGTCACTCTCTTAAACTGCGTAATTTACAAAGATCATACTAACCTCTTTCCTTCTATATAATATGTTACATTACCATTTACATCCTCATCTTGATCCGTTGCCTGTCGTAGAAAATAACAATGATGAATGACAAAGAATAAAATCTGAATAAAATACAACTGCAGCGTTTCGTAATATTAGAGAAGACAGCTGAATTGAATAGGACTTAAATACAGATCAGACCGCCTAGATGAACAACCCGGGACCATTTCCATATTGTTATGGCGTGTTTTCCTCTTTGATTCATAAGAAATTATTTATACGCAAGACAATTTGAATATTTATAAATTCCTATTTTTAGTTTCACATATCCCATCATATTGCTTATTTGTATAATTTGTAGGAAGTCGATAATCATAAGGACTTGATATATAAAATATTTAATACCTTAATATTGCCAATAACAGTTCCAACTTGAACATCTTCTGGTAAATTAAAAATATAAACTTGTTCTGTGAATACCGGTGTGTTGTCATTCACGTCTATTACAGTAATGTTTATCCAGTAGGTGTTGACATCCTAATAAATAAAATAAATAGATGAACGTGGACTACTAACCACGTAGAGGGTTAGGGTTAGCGCTGGCCCTGTTTACATCTGCAGGTGGCCTTAATATTTAGATCTGACTCTTGAATACCGTTGTCCAACTTTGTTTTGGCCTTAATATAAGGCACATGCCTTATAGGGATAGCCAAAAATCAAGGCCACAAAAAAATACAATTGTAATCAACACTGTAGCTATACTGTAATCTTATAGTAATTACAGTACTGTGAATTTTTTTTTTTTTTTTTTTTTTTGTAATAAAAATTTCTTCCTTTTATCGGTGAGCCTAAAATATCTGTATTTTCAGGACACCTATCAAAATGTGCCTTAGGACCAGTAAAGCTTTAACACGGCACTGTATATGAGGGCATGCAGAGAATCATTCACAAAAGTTGTGTCGTCTGCCTACCCTCGTGGGTTTTCTCCGGGTCCTCCGGTTTCCTCCCACTGCTAAAGACCCCTACGCAAAAGCGAATTATTGAAATAAAATTGAATAATGTTAATCCCGAAATGACCTAGTTTGTGTCGAGTGGACGTTAAACCCCACCTCTCTCTATCTCTCTCTCTCTCCTCTCTCTATCTGATAACAAGATAAGGCTTACCACTGCTCTAGTATCGACTGTTAATCTTAAGGCGTGTAATGGTATCATTTCACGATCTAACTCTATACTTGTCTTTAACAGACTAATAGATAAAATAAAACAAGAGAAATAATTAGTAAAAGTGATTTCGGTGAAGCAGATTATCAAAAATATCTATGTCTGCTTTGGTATTTTGAACTTCAATACAAGAACTATAAAAAATTCAAATCTAAATTCGATGGCGGTTTTAAGACGCTGAATGGTTGTTGATTTAATTCCTAGAAATATTAATAAGCTGATAGAACCATATCTACATCATTGTGGTATCTCCCGCCATTCTGATTAAAATACAGATCTATACTTCGTTTAGTTTTTTTATACTTTTGATGGCCTCCTACGCCCCAAGATCTGAACAGTTGTAGTGGGGGGTCGCGTTAGGGGTCATACGAGCGACTTTTGACCCTATGGCGTCAGACATTTGATTAACCAATCAACGTTGATGTTTCTAGTAGGATATCTATAGTTCCGTGCACAGCACGCCAAGAATTCGCCGTAACAGACTGTTTCATTGGCTAATCCCTCACATCAACAAGAACGCGGATTATATAAACGAAATTTTGAACTATAAAAAACGAAACGAAATAGGATCTGTGTTTTAATCCCGATTGTGCCTCCCTTATATTATATGTATTTAAGGTGTGCAATCAGCCATCTTGTTAAAAGTTCAAAATAGTATAAATATTTAAGTCAGTCTTTTTGATTACAGTATTCAAAAAGTACGTATTGTTGTGCTCCAACCATTAAAATAATCGTACTCTAAATATTGTTTTAAAACTCACCTTTTATCCAGGTAAAAATATTGATTGGCCTCAAGAATAAACGTTGCTTGGTCATTTATATACTGAAAGAATAAAATAGGATTACATTCATTTTTCAGGACATACTAACAAGGACAGCTGTCAAGTCGTTCTGGGCCCCGTGTAGTAATTGACGTGCACGTAAAATATTCCTTGGCTGAGAAAGTTTATCCAGATTTTCCGGCGTGGTTCCCCCTTGTCAGTGATGCAGGACGGAGGGCCTGATAAGGACAGCTGTCTAGTCCTTCGGATGAGACGAAAAACCGAGGTCTCGTGTACACATTGGCGTGCACGTAAAAGATCCCTTGGCAGTTGGAATTCGATATAAGAGTAGGCTGTAGCGCCGCTGTTCGGGCAAAATTTCACACATAGCACACTGTATGGCCCGTCTTCATTAGCCCATTTCGGAGCAGAACAGTAGGACCTTAAACCCCATTTCATTTTCAATCATTTTTCGACAGGTAAGATTTTCAGACTAAAAGATAAGATTTTCAGACTAAAGGGCAAAATTTTCAGACTAACGGGGCAAGATTTTCAGACTAAAAGGTAAGATTTTCAGACTAAAGGACAAGATTTTCAAACTAAAAGGCAAGATGGTATGTATATATGTTGGGTTTTCTAATAGATGATATTAACATCTAAATAACACTTTCCAGTCCTTTCCTGCCCTTAATTAACGAAAATATTTATTATGCAATCGGGCACATTGTCGCTTTAAACATTTGGAGAGTGGATATAATACAAACAGTAATCTGATTAAAACACAGATCCTATTTCGTTTCGTTTTTTATTGTTCAAAATTTCGTTTTATTTGTCTGTACTAGACTAGGATCTGGAAGAGTTGTTCTGAATGGCGTGAGGGATTAGCCAATGAAATGGTCTGTTACGGTGACTTCTTGGCGTGCGCTGCACGAAGCTGTAGGTAATCCACTAGAAATATAAATCAATGTCTGACGTCATAATCTCAAAAGCCTTTCGTACAACCTCTGAAGCAACCTTTTACTACAACCGGTCAGATCTTCATGTAGTGTAGGCCATCGAATGTATAAAACAAACGAAACGAAATAAAGATCTGTATTTTGATCAGATAGTACAAATAGCCTAATTAATTGTAACCCACGCTTATTTCAGTAACTATGGTATCTGGAGGTTGGTTTTCAGGTATAGATGTTTTAACATCAACGCCATCTACAGTAGTATTATCATATTTTACAACACGAACACTAGCACTACTACAGCGTCTATAAAAACAACACATATATTTATTAGAAACACTGATTAATTAATCTAATGTTTGTGAAATGCGTCCCTTTTCATGTTTTGTATTTGTGAATTCCCTTCCGTATTATTTGTTTGTTAATCGGGGGGGTTGGATGGCCGAATGGTTAGCACGTGTGCGCTGTATCATAAGACCTGTCATTGAGTCAATTGGCGTGTTTCGCATCCCCGGTTGTGCGTGACAAGGAGTAGGGTCGCCTGTCAAACCTCGTAGGGTTTCTCCGGGTCCTCCGGTTTCCTCCCACTGCTAAAGACCCCTACGCGCAAGCGAATTATTGAAATAAAATTAAACCACGTGTTAGTCTCGAAATGACCTAGTTTGTGTCGAGTGGACGTTAACCCCCATTTCTCTCCCTCTCTCTTTGTTTGTTAATCGGTAGGTCAATGAAAAAATTGAGTGAAGTCTTTGACATAGCTTGCCCAAACTGTCCAGCACAATGGACGCTTACGTTCGGCACCCGGATTCATGCACTTGTTTTAGTAGTAGCGTACTTTCAATGTCCTTATATAAATAAACTCAAAGTGAACACAAGACTAACCTCTCAGAAACAGCACTCGGGTTATCGCAAGCTTGAACAAGAAAATTGATAGGCAACAATGTTTGACTCTGAAGAGTAATTTCCCCTGAGGTTTCGTTCACTCTGAAAATATTTTTATTTTCTAATACAGAGTAAGTTATTCTTTGATTTTCGCCTATATCTTCGTCTGTTGCCTCCACCTGCAAAGTCAATAAACATATTTAGATCGGCTATCGATGCTCTTTTCTCAACGAATTGAAATGAAATGAAATGGGAAATGGATTAAAATGAAATGGGTTAACGTTCTACTGTTCTGCTCTGACTGGGTTAATGAAATGAAATGGGGTTTAGCGTCCTACAGTTCTGCGCCGACTGGACCAATGATTAATGAAAACGACCATACGCCATAAAATGTGCTATGAGGGACATTTTGCCCGGACGTCGGCACTAAAGCCTACTCTTACATCTGTCAAGGGTGTACACGGGGCCTCGGGGATTCGTCCGACCCGAACAACTATACGTTAGCCTCGATCATCATTACTAAAGTCGGTACAATAAAAAAAGTCTCGATTATCCACTTTTGTTTAAGCGCATTCCGAAAAGGTAGTTCTTTCAAGGATAAATGCAAATTCTTAGATATACAGATATTCATTCAAAACAAATACACTGTGTAATTTAATATTACTAAGTAATGGAAAAGTGGTTAACCCAGATATTGAAAAAGCTTTCAAAAAATGGGCTTCTGCAAAGCAGAGAAGAATATTGTATATTGTAATATCATATGTATATTGTATGTACTAATGTAAAAAAAATACTGAAAAAATCTAATAGATATTTGTTCTTTATTGTGGCGGAGAAAATATATGTCTAATAAATTAAAATGAAAAATTGGCGGAAATAAAATGAAACCCAGAGTGAGCACTGCCCATGCCCCCCGTCTTTCACGACTGACAATGGGGAACAACTACTGATTTAAAACTTCGTTTAGGCGAATCAATTTTCATTTTTTAAAAATAATATGTGGATACCTTTCCAATCTTTTCACCTGGCGTATTGTCTGTTATTGTAAATATATAACCATTTGGTGATGTAAATATTGGATTATTATCATTAACATCTGTTAGAATGATCAATATACTTAAATTACATCCTAGATTACTGCAAGTATTTATTACAGGTACATGTGGCTGTGTTGAAACCTGAAATAGAGATGATGTTACCCACTCAAAGATTAAAACACAGATTCTATTTCGTTTCGCTTCGGTTTTTATTGTTCAAAATTTCGTTTTACTTATTTACTCCTTCATGTAGTGGAGGCCATCGAAAGTATAAAAAAACGAAACGAAATATAGATCTGTATTTTAATCAGATTGGGTGGCCCTCTTGTCGTTTCAATATGTTACTTAATGTCACGCTCTCGACCATTAAACAATACTTAACCATACTTGTATCAACGTATTAGGCACTCTGTAAAAATCCGGGACGACTCCAATTCTTCTAAACAATAACTATTCAAATCACTTGAATTATTTAGATCTTAAATGACGGGGCTGTAAGGTCTGCCATTGCGGGTAACAAGGAGGATGCTCGCCTGTCCAACCTCGTGGGTTTTCTCCGGGTCCTCCCACAGCTAAAGATGCATAAGCGAATTATTGAAATAAGATTGAACCATATGTATAGTCCCGAAATGACCTTGTACGTGTCGAGTGGACATTAA